AAAATAAATAAAATCTTTAAAAAAAAAAAAAAAAAGAAGTCATGGGCTGGAATATACTGAAAGTGGACGTGGCCGCATCTGCTGTCTTGCTCTGTAGGACAAGGGACAGACATGTCAGTTGGACGCTTTGCCAAGGCAGAAGCTGTTATGGGAAGAAGCTGTTATATTAACAGTAAAAATACACTTTCTGGCATTATTGTCACGCGATGATAGGAGGGTTTTCCCTCTTTGAAGCTCGGAGCTCCTTCGTGCCGTGGGAGTGTGTAATCAGTGCATCACTTCCTGGTCCACGTGCGATGGCTGGACCGGCCTCTTAGAATCAGGCTAAGTTGGTAAAAAGAGAACATGTGAAATGGTCACAGTGTCCATTTCTCTAGCGGCAAACCTCCCAAGAAAACTAATGGATTGTTAACTTAGTCAGATTGTAAAGTTAGTCAAAAATTATTTGAAGACACAACCTACATGAGGGGTTTATGAGGTGTGTGTAAACCAGGAGCAGGACTGGGGTGCTGAGCAAAGTCAGGGGCCACGCTGCAGCTCAGGGCTTGGTCCTCTCCTGCAGGTGGACAGTGTCGCCCTGGGACGGACAGAGGGGGCTCCTCTCCCAGGAAAGCCCTGGATGTGTGGGCAGGAAGCCACCAGCAGGACCCGGGGGAAATTTCGGAAACTTAGTGCACTTGGCCTTGTTTTTGCTTTGACTTTGAACTTGATTTTTCTGCTTTTTTCCTAATTGCATCTAATTCGTCGTCCTGTGTGTGTTTGCTTAGTTGTATGACAAGTGAGGTGTACATCCTTGGGAGGAGGGAGGAGGTGGCCCTGGAAAAACGCCAGAGAGAGGGCAACATGGTGCAGATTCAGAAACAGCTCTTCGTGGAGTGAGTGGGGTGCAGCAGGGTATTTATGAGGTGACGTAAGCAGAGGCTTTATTCTCCGGGGAGGATAGCTGCATAAATCATTTATTTCCAATTAATTCAGTATCAACAACCTTTTGGATAAATAAGCATTCATTCCACAATTTAGATGAGGGCACACAAAGCCTCTTCTAGTATTTTCATGTGGTTAGAGAAGTGTTCATTTCAAGGTCATTGAAAAATAGTTGTTCTCGTGAAAATGCTCTTACAAAACCTCTTCTCACATCAGGTATCCGTTGAACAGCACTGAGGAGGTATTTGGAGAAAACGCTGGCACATGTCATGCACTGAGCCTCATTTGTGATGTGAGCACACTCACGGTGCTTCTCGCCCCCTGATGTTTAATGAGTGAGGGAATCTGCACCCATTGAGTCTGAGTCTGAGACTGGCAATTTAAAAAAAATTTAGTTGTGGTAAAGTACATGTAACGTAAAATTTACCATCTTAACCATATGTGAGTGTACAGTTGCATAGTGTTACAGATATTCACATTCTTGTACAACCAATCTCCAGAACTTTTTCATCATGCAAAACTGAAACTCTACACCCATTAAACAATAACTCCTCGTTCCCCTCTTCTCCCAGCCCCTGGCGTCCTCCATTCTGCTTTGTATCTCTGTGAGTCTGACGACTCTAGGGACCTCATAGAAGTCGAATCGTACAGTATCTGTCTTTCTGTGACTGGCTTATTTTACTCAGCACAGTGTCCTCAGGGTTCATCCGTGTTGTAGGAAGTGTCAGAATTCCCTTCCTTGTTAAGGCTGAGTGATATCCCCTGTATGGGTAGACCACATTTTGTTTATCCATTCATGCTTCGATGGACACTGGGTTGCTTCTGCCTTCCGACTATTGTGAGTAGTCCTTCCGTGAACATGATGTAGGTGTACGGGTGTCTGTTCGAGTCCCTCTTTCAGTTCTTTAGGGTACATCTCAGCAGTGGGATTGATGGATCGTGTCAGGGGTGGCAGCTTGTAATGAGCGGTTGTCTCTTCCCCCCAGGCGCCTGCAGGAGGAAGACCAGCAGTTGAGAACCTCGTCTCTGCCGGCCATCCCCAACCCTTTCCCCGAGCTCTGCGGCCCGGGGAGCCCCCCTGTGCTCACACCGGGCTCCTTACCTCCGAGCCAGGCCACTGTGAAGCAGGTGAGCGCCCCTGGTTAAAGCCAGGCTGCTTGGCTGTGGGGTCAGCACTGATGAGCTGGCTCACTACTTTGGGAAGAAAGGAGGGAAATTGTGGGATCTTTTTTCTTAGTTCTTTTTCTCTTGCTACTGTACTTGTTACCTGGTGAAGCTTTTTAATTTATTGGCCCAAAATTTCATTTATTAAGTCAGGGATGTATCAATATATTTTAGAAAGAGTCTGATAAAAATGGTAAAAAATAATAATAATAATAACTTAGTGCCTAAAGATGAGTTTTAGTTCTCTGACAAAATTTCACCACTGCATCATCTTCATTCCCAATAATTCTGGATAAGTGAGGTGTTAAACACTGGGCTTTCTCGGGCACCTGAACTTCAGTCCAGCATAGTTGAAGAGTTTCCATATTACATTCCTGACTTTGAGTGTGATCTGCTCAAGGTGGAAGAATTTTCACTTGACCCAGAGGGTGACAGCCACCTTTTCAAACTAGTAGTTTGCCTTGAAGTAGGACTGTGAGGTGCATGTTATACAGTCGTTGTCCTCAAGGGAGGAAACTGAGGCACAGGGACTTTCAGTAATTTACCCATGGTCAGATCACTGGTAATCAACTTGTCAGAGAAATGGGCTGCCTGCTCCATCCATCCTGGTCGGCAGGGCCTGGGCCAGGGTGGATCACAGGCTCAGGAGGGAGAATAGTGATGCTGTGGTGTGCGGGGTGTGAAATGAGCATAATGATAATAACGGGTGACAGCAACCTCCAGCATTCATTGAGGGATCTCAGTGGTTTATATGTTTATTTATTTATATGCTCATTTATTCCTCAAAACAAACCTGAGTTAGGTACAATATTCTCTCTATTCTGCTGTTGAGAATCTGAGGCCATTGTGAGTGATGGAGCCGGGAGTGACCCAGTGTGGGTGATAGAGCTGGGGTGGGATTTGACCCAGGATCTGGAGCCTCTGATTTTAGCCACTAAACTAAATGCCTCCTGAGACCTTGACGTTCCTTCTTTTAAACAAGTGTATTTCAGATGTTCCTTTGCCTTTTCTGCTAGAATCACTCTCTTCTCCTACTCTCTCTGCACTTTTCCACCTTTGCTGTCCTCAAAGCATGATATGCCCCCAACCCTTTTCTCTGCAAATCCTGCGCCACACAGGGTCTGCACTCTTAGGGCGGAGACATTTCTTCTGACTTAGCGCTCGCCAGCTCCCGAGCACTGCTCCCGTTCTGACCTCGCGCCTCCAGAGCAGGCTGCGTTGTCCTGCCGTCAACACTTAGAAGGTGAGGTAAGTGTCCCTGTCTGGGAGCCAGCGCTGGCTGGGCTGCGGCACTTTGTCATATGCCTGAAGTACATCTGGGATGTCTGCCTCCCTGGTGACCTTCGCTTCAAATAAAGGTCTAGACAAGCTGTCTGTGGATTGGTCACTGAGGTTGTTTACAACGTTACCCATCCTAAAATAAGACTGTGAAAATATTATCTGGCTCTCACAGCAGTTGGCAAGAGAACGGGCCTCCACCCCCATAGACTCTCCGACTCTGTAAGCAGAATCAGGAAACCCAGGAATTTTGCCTGCTGTTTTTCTTGGGATTGGAGTTAGTTCCCCTTGAGAACATTGCACTGGTGTCTGCGTTTCTGTCGCCTAAATTCCTCCAGCCAGTGGGGACCAGCACTCACAGGAAGGATGCTTCACACTTAGCACCACTTGCAGAAAGTGGGTGTTGGTTGTGTTTAACCGGCTTACAGGGACCTTTCTCTATCCGTACTAGGTTCTGACTTTTGATCTTGTGAAAAGCATGTTTCATTGGCCTTGCTGGTTGTAGTCTCCAGGCAGCTTCAAGATGCTTCCCCGTCTTGCAGTTTTGGACCATGATGGGAGCTGCTGCTAATGGGCAAAGGATTTTGGGTTCTTCCTTTGCCACTTGCTTGAGGGAAAGAGAAATCTGATGTTCTTTCTCCTTCCTTTTGAAGTCTGAGGAAGCAGCTGGAAGTCAAGACTTCTGAAGTGTAAAAATAGATGAAGGGCACTCCACGTGTGAGGCCCACATAACACCGCCTCGTCCACTGGTAAGCACGGCGTGGGAAAAGAAGAAAGTGTAGTGCCTCTTCGGGAGGAAGCTGGAGACAGTGAGCCCATCAGGAGCCTCTTTCTGATCACTAGTCAGAAGGGGCGAAGAAGTGAAGAGAGATTTCAATGGCCATGTGAGAGGAGAAACGGTTCTTGCCCAAGGCACCCTAGCTAAAGTGTTCTAAAATCCCGTCAGACAAGTTAGGAGCCTCTCTGCCACCTCTCTCTGGGATTCCTTTCTCGGTGACCCCTTGGTAGCTGTTCAGTGGGCAGGAGTGGTCAGGCGTGGTGTATGTAGACACTGTCCCAGAGGGCAACTGCCGGGATGTGGGCTTGGTGCTGCCCCACATGCCGTCCTGCTCGCCGTGGCACTGCCAGCCCTGTGGATGACACCCACCTGGTGGGACAGCCACTGTGACTGCAGGTGGGACGGGAAGCTGACCTGCAGCACCACAGCATTGAGCCTGGGACAGACAGCTGAGGGATGTGGGGCTCGCTGAGGAGTCTAGTTCTGCCCCGGCCCTGGCACAGCTCCTGCATAGACCTGCGAGCTGCAAGATGGGCTCCCTGCAAGGGCTGGTGGCCACAGGACTTGATTACACGGAGGGAGAGGGAGAGTTGGGCAGGGTGCTGTCCTAGGAGGACAGCCCTCAGCGCCACCACTCTGGCAGGACTCCCTCTAGTTACCTTGGAGCCTACTCTGTGCCAGGCCCTCTGCCAGACCAGAGGCTAGAAAGTTGACTACAGCGTGGGCCCTGCTCTCAAGGACCTTAACGTGACAGTGACAGAGCAACAAGCCATCTCAGATGAAGGCAGACGGAGTAATTGGTAGTCTAAGAGGAATCAGTAACAAACCAAAAAAAATCATTATTCTTTCTAGAAGGATCAGGAAATCTTCGGAAGCCACTCCGCACCCTCCACACGAGGAGTCCAGAAGGTGCAGACACCCCTGGGCAGGCTCTGGCAGTTCTCCCACGCTGACCCCACCCCAGGTTTGTGGCCTCCCTGTGGTCACATCTGCCTGGGCTGACCCACGTCTGCATGGTCAGGCGACGCTATGGGCTGCGTGTTGGTGTCCCCTGAGAATTCACATGCTGTAGCCCTAATCCTGCTGTGATGGTGTGAGAGGTGGGGCCTTCAGGAGGGGGTTAGCTTTAGATGAGGTCACAGGGTGGGCCCCCATGGTGGGACTAGTGCCCTTCTAAGAAGAACTAGCAGACCAGAGCTTCTCTCTTTACCACATGAGGACACAGCGAGACGGCGGCTGTGGAGGAGCCACGAAGTGTCCTCACCAGAACCCGATCCTGCCCCCTCTCTGCTCTCGGACTTCCAGCCTCCAGAACCATAGAAGTTTCTAGAAGTTTCTATGTCTGCTGTTTGAGCCACCTGCCTGTGGTACAGGGTTATGGCGTCTGGGCTGACTAAGATCGGGCGTAGCTGAGTTTCTGACAAGCCTCCTGGTTCTCCAGCCAGGGGAGCCTTAAACCACAGAGAATTGCCCATCGCACCGTTGAGTCAGTGGCCCGGTGGATCTGACCCTCGTCGGAAATCACTGGAAGCGTCACATGCGTCCAGAGCCTGTGATCCCAGTGCACCTCCAGACCCCAGTGGCAGTGACGTCTGTTCCCCTGTGAGTGGGTCCCCCCGGAGTTGTGGGTGGTCCATATCTTGTGAGAATTTCAGGGTCATCTGTCTTAGGCTCAGGCTTCTTGGGTTTTCTGCTTGTTTTACTGTATTATTTGAATTTTAGAACAACAGCGTTTGGTTTGTTTGCTATATTTTAAGCCAAAGCCTGTCGAGTTGCATTTAGCTGGGGTTGTACTGTGGCTTCGTGTAAAGTGAGAGCGGCACAGCCCTGTTCATTTGTGGAGGGCGCAGAGAACTAACTAAGTGTGGTTCACGACAGAGGAAACAGCGCTTTGCGAGTGTGAGTCTAGAAACGGTTGACAATGTGATTTTACTTTGTGTCTGCAAGTCTCTTCCTGGGTTATTAAAAACAGATTAGTGAGTCTTGTCTGAAGGTACAGCTTCTGTGAGGAACATCCCTCCATCGTTTATGTAACAACATTTAATTTGTCTAATAATCTAAGTTGTTTAATAACATCTCATCACTTATTTGCCAGAAATGCAGATGGCTGAAGACTTCCTTCTGACTGACAGTGTTCTTTCCCCTAGAGGGTAGTGAAATTAAATTAATATCAGGAAAGTGAATTTTTGTAGTAAAAATCAACAAGGCATTTTTAACTGCTTTGTGACTCATTTGTAAAGACAGGCTGTCGCGTGGATAAGGCTGATTGCTATAGCAAATATTTCTGAGCCATGAGACTGAGCTCCATGCCTGAATCGCCTCCTACAGTCTAGTCTGTGCCATTGGGCTTCTGTGGCAAGGTTCCCTTTGCCCTCAGTGCCTCTGTGGACCCAGGGGACCTTGGTCCTTCTTCCTGTCTTGCTAAGCACCTGTCAGACCCGTGAACTTATGACTCTTCTGTGTCTGCCTGGAGCTTGGCACGGCATGCGTTTATGTGATAGCAACTCGGAGTACCTACTGTGTGCCTGGCCCAGTGCCAGTGACAAGGATACAAGAGAGGGGTGTGCTACCTGCCCTCTGACCTGCAGAACCCCAGGGGGCATCCCCTTGAGCTTTGGCCAGAGCTCAGGGAGCGGAGAGCGGCACATTGTTCTTGGCCTAATGGAGTTGCAGCCTGGGCCAGGCCCCTCGTCTTTCTGGCCAGGCCTTCTGAATTGAGGATGTGACCATCCAGTGCGCCTGGAACTGGCCTTAGGGTGCAGCACGTGGGCACAGGGGAGGGGGGCAGGGGTTGGAGGGGAGGCTGGGGAGAGCTTTGGGCCTGGCCAGGGTCTCAGGTAATACCTGACCCCAACCCTCCCTTCAGGGCACCCTGGCAGATGAGTCAAACCTCCTTGCCATGGCCTCA